GGTTAATCGTCCAGTCTGTGAAGAAGGCATTCAAGTAAGAATTGCATTGTAGAATGTTTTCTGGGCGCGTACAATTTATATTAGGTCAGCGTTCACAGTTCAACTTCTGATATTCAGATCGAGTTCTAGGTCAAACTGGTTTGTTCGACTTTCAAGAAATTCAAGTTCTAGTGAGTTTGAGAACCGAGGTACCACTGTAGTTCAATTCAATTTTATTGGTATAGCATATTTTCACATTACATTGTCTCGAAGCGCTTTGCAGCATCCCCGCTCAAAGCCCGCAGTGAGCAAGCCAAAGGTGAGAATGGCAAGGAAAAATTTCCAAGAAGGAAACCTTGGGAGGAACCAGACTCAAAAGGGGGAGTCCATCCGGCAGAGGAAGTGAAATTAAAGGCATACTTCCGTTTCACCTCTCTGCTCCTCAACAGCATAGCTCATGTCCAACTCCTCTTTACCATTTAAATTTTGAAAGCCAAAGTTCCTCCATACATACATTGCATATAAACTGTGCAGGAGCAGCACAAATCTCTGCTGTGTCATTTGCCATTCTTGTTACTGCTAAACAAAGATAGAAAATAAATGGCTGCTACTACACGGGATGTTGGGTTGCCTGTCAATGTGGGAATACAGTGGAAACTACTTATAGTGATCACGGTTATAGTGATCAACCACTTATATGGATCAAACAGCTTGGGACAGAATCATTTCTGTATATATACTGCTTACTTTGCTTATAGTAGTCAAGTAGTCGGCTTACAGTGTTCATTTTGGGGTTTTTATACATAACATATGGAAAAAATTAACTACGGTAATTCTTTACTTTGATAGCCCTACTTTGCAGTGCGGTAACTTGTCCGCTTCTGGCTAGCTACCAAGACGGGGAAAAAAAGTAAATTTCTCTCAATGACAAATACAGCCTCACCGAAATTTCATAAACTTCAAACAAGCCAATGAGATGCAGCAGCAAAACCACAATAACTTACATTTTATATACAGTACTGTATATTTGGACTTCTACATTTCATATACAGTGCTGTATTATAGTATTTGATTTATACAGTTCAGTGATTTAATTTGTACAGTACTGTAATTTGAAAAGGCAAAGATAAAACAACTGGTTATAATGACCATCTGCATATAGTGATCAATTTCACCCTGACCCGCATGTGCGGACAGAAAAGGAAAACTAATTACTATACTAACAAAACTGCAAACAAAACCGATTTAATACTGGAACCACACAAACAAACAGCAATAACAAAAACAAGTTCTGCCAATGACAACTGAAGCAGAAACCACAAATGGAGCTCAGCTGTTGCACCTCACTGTCATGTCAGGTTGGATGACACACACTTCCCAACACAGAGGCCACATGAAGAAAATGCACATCTGCATGATGGAAAACACATCCACAAGTTTGTAGGTACTCACCGAAGTGTGGGTTCATTTCAAGGTGTTTCTGTAAGGAATAGATGAGGTTCCAGCCAGGAAGGAAAATGAGCACTGCCCCGCTGACTTCAAGCGTTTCAATGTACTTCAGTAATGCCTCAATCAATTCAAAAGAAGTCTCCTTCTCATTCATCTGGGCCATGGAGCGTCTGGTATCAGGACCATACTCATCTCCACAAATAACATTGCAATTTGTCTGAAATTAAGCAAACACAAAAGTAAAGAGTGCAGCTTTATGTAAAGGAAACAGTCATATAGCAGTAAACAAAATTTTAATGCACCGTCATTAAACACTAGTGCGGTTATTGATCGAGACTATGTTACATGCAAAAAAAAAAAAAAAAAAAAAAAAAAAAAATTAAAAAATCAAAATCATCATCATCATCATAATATTACAGTTGGAGTTTACCAACTGCGACTGAGGTACAGTCAGCCAATACAAGATCATTTCAGCTGTTAGTACATAAGAAATGAATACCTTCAGTATTTGCTGGTTATATGCACAGTATGTGCGATACCTTATTTTGTACAATTTCATAAAGCATGTTGAAAGATCATTACAGTGCGGCCTATGATTCAACAGCAGCGGAGCTGGTTGTGATGTGGCCTACATTCATCATCCACATATCTGAGCAAAGTGAGTCACAACTTAAAAGGAGCTATGCAACTATTTGACAAACAAAAGGAGGTGGTAAGGAACAGGGCAACAAATGAACACAAAAAGGGTTGTATTGCTTTTTCTGTACAGTCCCAAGTAAACACCAGTACTTCTTCCAAAGAACTCCAGCAACTTAACATATTTCTAAACAATAAAAAACAATTATTTAAAAAAGTGAACACAAGCACAATATAAATATCTGGAGTCCTTCGGTCCCATCAAATTTATTTCACACACAGAGAATCATAGTGCACCATGAAGAGTGAGAAAAAAAAAACAACTAGACTCTTGTATCAACGGGTTTTTTTGGTCTGGCCAAACATAATTCTTCTAACCCTACAAATTAGTACACAATCTCATGATTTGCCAAAGTCTCCATAAAACCCCACACTGTGAATGAATGTAACTATATAGGAAGCATAAATGATTATGTTTAATAGATATTTTTCTGCAATAACTGATTTGCACTCACTATTGTATTTCTATGTAACATTACAATTCCTGCCCTTTAACGTTGGTGTGTTATGATATCCTATTGTAATTTTAAACATTGTGATGCCAGTGATCAAAACAATTTAACACAATAAAAAAAATACATATTAAATTGATACAATTTTACAGCTAAGGGCTTATTCATTTTAAAGGCATAATCAAAGTTATTTCATGCACACAAATGAATGCCACTCTGGGTCCTAAACTCAGCCCTCACCAAATCATAAACCCAACCCTGACCCAAACCCTTAACCAAATACAGGATGGATGGATGAATAGAGGGACTGATGGTTCCTGGACAGAATCCAAACCCCTAGTCCAGGCTCAGACCTTGCTCTATGGTCAAAATAATGAAATCACAGCCTGTAACCATTATTTATGACAATTACACATTCAAATGATAAGAAAAATGTTACTATTTTCTATAATCCCTATCTTGATCTCTATACCAGTTTACAAGAGGATCTTCAGCAAATAAACAAGGTTATAAATAAGAATTAAGCATTTACGAGATAAGCAACGCCATTGGTCAGCCAGCTGCTAGGCACTTTTGTCTAGTGGCTCAAGGTGATTGGTGGAGGGACTTTAGTGTCATAGTGCGGGCAGGGCACATTATACCTCAATTATGAAAATCTTAAAATATTAAAATTCCAAAAAATGAACTCATACATTTAATATTAAATTGGTTAAGATATACACTCACCTAAAGGATTATTAGGAACACCATACTAATACGGTGTTTGACCCCCTTTCGTCTTCAGAACTGCCTTAATTCTACGTGGCATTGATTCAACAAGGTGCTGAAAGCATTCTTTAGAAATGTTGGCCCATATTGATAGGATAGCATCTTGCAGTTGATGGAGATTTGTGGGATGCACATCCAGGGCACGAAGCTCCCATTCCACCACATCCCAAAGATGCTCTATTGGGTTGAGATCTGGTGACTGTGGGGGCCATTTTAGTACAGTGAACTCATTGTCATGTTCAAGAAACCAATTTGAAATGATTCGAGCTTTGTGACATGGTGCATTATCCTGCTGGAAGTAGCCATCAGAGGATGGGTACATGGTGGTCATAAAGGGATGGACATGGTCAGAAACAATGCTCAGGTAGGCCGTGGCATTTAAACGATGCCCAATTGGCACTAAGGGGCCTAAAGTGTGCCAAGAAAACATCCCCCACACCATTACACTACCACCACCAGCCTGCACAGTGGTAACAAGGCATGATGGATCCATGTTCTCATTCTGTTTACGCCAAATTCTGACTCTACCAGTTGAATGTCTCAACAGAAATCGAGACTCATCAGACCAGGCAACATTTTTCCAGTCTTCAACTGTCCAATTTTGGTGAGCTCGTGCAAATTGTAGCCTCTTTTTCCTATTTGTAGTGGAGATGAGTGGTACCCGGTGGGGTCTTCTGCTGTTGTAGCCCATCCGCCTCTAGCATCAACAAGGCATTTTCGCCCACAGGACTGCCGCATACTGGATGTTTTTCCCTTTGCACACCATTCTTTGTAAACCCTAGAAATGGTTGTGCGTGAAAATCCCAGTAACTGAGCAGATTGTGAAATACTCAGACCGGCCCGTCTGGCACCAACAACCATGCCACGCTCAAAATTGCTTAAATCACCTTTCTTTCCCATTCTGGCATTCAGTTTGGAGTTCAGGAGATTGTCTTGACCAGGACCACACCCCTAAATGCATTGAAGCAACTGCCATGTGATTGGTTGATTAGATAATTGCATTAATGAGAAATTGAACAGGTGTTCCTAATAATCCTTTAGGTGAGTGTATGATGTGTAAACGCAGTCAACAATGACACTTAAAGGCCAAATGGTAGAATTACACTAAAAATTGGTCAGAATAATAATCATACGTAAAAAAATAAGAATCGTGTTAATGCGCTAATGATCCACTTACAGACCCTAATTATGTTAATGATCTTATAACCTAAAGGCTACCAGTAAAGTTCTGGGCCAATTTGTTTTAATTCAAGAGATTTCCAACAAAACTTTTTGCATCATTTTTGATTTTGATTAAATTTGGCATGTGACTTGCACATACATTCCTGAGCTCAGATATAAAATTTTATTTCCCTTTGACATATGGTGCTTTTTTACAGAAGCATGCTTCTGCCACATAAAATAAAAAAAATAGATACTAATTCATGATTATGAGATAGTATCTTGTAATTTTGATTTAGTAAGTCATAATAAGATGCTAAGATGAAATTATGAGACACTATGTTGAAAGTAGGAGATAACTTAGATCAATCACATTGCTTCATATACACAGGTCACACTCCATATTAGATGTTCAGTTTTCTGACTGTAATATCTTTTAAACAAAATTAAGCCAGGCGGTTGCTTTTGATGTCCAGTACACAGTTAGCCATGCACACCAATCATTCTTGTGGTATGACCACTCTCACTATCTGTCCTGAGTCTTGTTAGCAGCCACGAATAGACAATTTCAGCTATATTGAGATTCAGCATTTTGAGTTGAGGCCAAGGTTCTCTCATAATTTCAACTTATTAATTCATAGTAATGAGATGCTATCTAAACTATTTTTATGTGGTGGAAATGAGCTTCCATACTTTTTGTTCACTGGTGGTATCTAAAAATGATAATTCAGAGTGTTTTCTTAACTTTTGTACTATTATAGGTACATGGCTCAGTTATGGCTCATTGGAAAATTCAAGAGCGTTTTTCATGGTAATTTATCTGCTCAACATCTTTATAAGTCTAAGCTTCTTTGTTCCAAGGTCATCATTCATCTTGCATTTTTTTTCATTTGGTTATTAAAAAGCAGTGAAGGACTAAGATCAAGTCAATTTCCATAATGAAATACACTATATGTATGTGTACTTGTAAAAGAAACACTGACCTGAAACTTGGTCCCTTTCATGAGATAAGTATCTTAAAGGTGTATAAAAAAAAAAAAAAAAAAAAAACATGGCATGTGGATTTTTCCACCCTAGCTCAAACCACTCAGCAACAGGTGGCTCCATTTTCACAATGTAACACAAAGCGTTATGGGCGTGTCCAAATCCATTTTGATATTCTGACGGTGTAAAAAACACTTTGCACCATTGCAAGGCACAAAAAGGTTGTCCTAATTATTCAGAGGTGCGTTTTGGGATAAACCCATTTCAATAGTACATCACCTCACCTTTAAAAGGCAGCGGCGCTACGGCTGTTGCTATTACAATGGTGTGTTTGCCCGGCAAGCCAGATTGCTTGTCACCTGAGGAAACGGACAGGCTTGTGCACAAGGTGGAAAAGTGGGAACACATCATTTACAGGGGCACCGCTGTTCCAAGCCATTCAAGGTGGAGCAGGTATGGCATGAGGTAGCAGCGAGCGTCTCGTTTTCTGGCATTACCAGATCATCCAAGCAGTGCAAAAAACAGTATAATGATATCAGAAGACAAGGAAACTCACTGCTGAACAAGTACAGTGGCTGGGAACTGGGACTTAGTTATGCTTTTCTGTTTTTATGGATCTGTAGTTTGCAAAATATAAAAAAGGGCAATCTTTGTTCAAAGAAAACACAACCTACAGTTTTTAAGGTGTTTTAAAACATAAAAATAAAAGGTATTTAAGGCTGTTATTTTTCTACATCTCACAATTTAGATTCCTTATGATGCTACAGACGATTCAACTCTTCTGCCACCTGATCCTTCTTTGTCCATGCTGCTGCTGCCATACACTCCTTTGTTGGCATCAGCAGATGCAGTTCAGCATCAAATCTTCTAAATTCCTCTAATGAGTCCTCATTTATGTCCAAAACATATCCATCACGAATGGCAATGTTATGCAACATACAACATGCCACAAACAATGCAGCAACCTTCTGAGGGCTGTATTGTAATGTTTCACTTGACTTATCTAAATATCTGAAATGTATTTTTAGCAATCCAAATGTCATTTCAATTACAGAACATGCTTCATTCTGATAATGAATTTGATTTTTTTAATGATACAGTTTGTTCTTTACGTAATATATATATATATATATATATATATATATATATATATATA